AATATAGTCCATTTGTTCATACTTTGGTGGCTGAACGACTATGTAATGTCAGCGGGATCAGGGCCCCAGAGAGGCCAGCTCTTGGGAGGGCTTCGAGGTGCAGGGCCAGCCCCTGTGGAGGGAGCGTCAGGCGTCCGTCGGAGCTCCCGTCAGAACTCCGACTGGGCCGTGAAGATCCCGCTTCACGGTGTCTGGACACTTCCACCAGGCAGGACAGGGTCCGCAGTGGGGCTGACCACTGGGAAGACAGCTGGGGAAGAAGGCAGGCTCTTCATCTTCTAAAAACATTTTTTAGGGCTGGGGATTTAGCTCAGTGGTTCTGCCGCCTGCCTCGAAAGCTCAATGACCCGAATTTGATCCCCAGTAACAAAAAAAGCAAAAAAAAAATTTTTTTTAAATAGCCTTGGGCTAGGAATGTATCTCAGCAGCACAGCATCCAGCTGGCAAGCGTGCGGCCAATTCCCGGTACCAAAAAATAAAAAAATTTAAAATAGCCTGACTAGTTTTATAAAAACTACATGGACTCAGCTGGGTGCAGTACTGCATGCCTGTAATAAATTCAAGCACTCTGGGAGGCTGAAGCAGGAGGATCACAAGTTTAGACCCAGCCTAGGCAACTTTAGCAAGAACTTATCTCAAAATAAAATCATAAAAAAGGCTGGGGATGTGCCTCAGTGTGAAGGCCCTGGGTTCAATGCCCAGTACTGCAAAATTAAAAAAAAAAAAAAATCAAACCATGCAGAAGAGAACATTAGAGAAAGAGAAATCGCCCTCTCCTACCCCTATCACTATAGTTACCACGAAGCAGGCACCCTCTTCCCAGAGCCTGCCTCGCAGGGCCGATGCAGGGACCTGTGGGTGCTCTGTCTGTCTGTCCCACACCCAGCAGCATTAGCGGAGTGTCAGCTGGTGCAAGTGGGAGTTGTCCTTCCCAGACTGTCATGCTTCACTGTCCCAGCCGCCCAGCACGGGCCCTGCCACTTCTCCATAGCCACTGTCCCTGCTCTCGGCCGTTGTGATTGGCACAGCCATCACATTTGGGAGCATCCCGCCTTTGCCTTCAGGCAGGAGGACCAACTATCAGCTTTCCCTGGCTGGTCAGAGGGTCAGGAGGAGCAGGTGCCCAGCATGGGCCAGCCGTGACCATTTCAGCTACGAGAGCCGTGTGCCTCGGGTCGGGCTCCTCCTGACCTCCCTGTCTCCGTCCACCATGCAGCTCCCTGGCATCTGTTGGCCCATCAGGCCCCAGCAGTCATGGTCACTGGGTGGCTGTTCACCACAGTGTCAAAAGCAGAGAACACAGGTCTGGGGATTTAGCTCAGTGGTTTTGCCGCCTGCTGCGCAAGCGCAAGGACCTGAGTTCGATTTCCGGTACCGGAAAAAAAAAAAAAAAGAAGCAGAGAACACAGCTTGGCACTGTGGTGTGTGGAGAAGAGATTGTGAGTGAATGAATGACCACCATCACCACCCGACAGCTGCCGCCGCTCACTGACGACCTCACGGGGGCCAGACACTTGGCACAAGGTGCATGTGCGTTCACGTCACATCCTGCCAGCCCTGCCAGGGGCATAGCTAGGGGTGGTAGGTGGGCAGTGGCAGGTCACCATGTGACCCAGGCCCGCTGGCCCTGGAGCTGCAGTCCCACTTGGACTCACAATGGTGCCTGCCCCCTTGGTAACTCCCAGAACACCTTACAAGGGCCCCGCTGGTGATTCCTGCACTCTGGGGACACACAATGAGGTCATGTCTGTCCCCTAGATGGGAACCCCAGGAAGGGCCCCAGTGTCCCCCAGTGGACAGCAGGCTTGGGATCTGCTACCTGCAAGAGCCCTCCCTCCACCCTCAGCCCTTAATGGTCGCCTGGGCAGAAAATTTGGAATCAAGGATCTTGGTTTGGAAGAGACCTTCAAGGGCTAATCATTCACACACACACCCTTTTTGGGGTGAGGGGTTTGAGATAGGAACTCACTATGTAGCCCAGGCTGGCCTCAAACTCTCAGCAGCCCTCCTGCCTCAGCCTCCTGAGTGCTGGGATTCCAGTGCACCAGCCTGCCCGGCTCCCCATTTTCAGATGTGGAGGCTGAGACCCCTGGGCTGGGCCAGCACACTGGGCCCATGCGTCCCCTCCCATCCTCCCCCCCCCCCCGACACCCATGCCTCTGGCCGCATCACCGCTCTCTTGCCAGGCAGCTCTGCTGGCTGGGACCAGCCCATAGGCGGCCGCTGCGCCCTGCCGGCTGCCTTGGGTGTGAAAGGTGTTTAATTGTTTCTGACAGGGTTCAGCGCCGACATCTGTTGGCAAGCAGGAGAGTCCATTTAGGTTGTCCATCACCATGACGGCTCCGACGTTTTTGGAAACGCTTTTTCTCTTCATAATGGGGTCGAGTGGGGGCAGCAGGTCAGACAAACACCCTCCCGGGGCTTCCTGCATGACGCCAGCAGGACAGCAGCCTCAGTCTGGCTGCTGGCAGAGCCTTGAGACTCCAGACCCAGCTGGTGGTGGAAGGGGGCCAGGTTCTGGGGGGCACTGGGGCAGGCAAGTCTTCTTCCCCGCCTTTTTGTTTTCTGAGACAGGGTCTCACTATGCAGTTCAGACTGGCCTTGGGCTCAGTAGGTAGCGCAGGGTGGCCTGGAACCCAGGGTAATCCTCCTGCCTCAGCCTCCCAAGTGCTGAGGCTATTCCCATCAGTGGAATGCGGACATGACAGCTACAATTAACACATGCCCAGCCGTCCACACACAGAAAGAGCTCAACAAGTATCTTTGTTGGCCGTACTTCCTGGCAAAGGGGACCCTGTGTGGCATCGTAGTGGCGGCAGCTGGGGGTGTGAGGCTTTCTGCTGTACTTTGCTGTGCGGCCCAGGATCCAGCCCTGCCCTGCCCATCCCACCCAGGACCCCACTTCCTGCGGTTCCTGGCTGACTAGCTGGGTGAGTGCAATGACCAGATGACAGGTGCCCAACAAAGCCCGGGCCTGCGCACGTTTTCTCTGCAGCACGGGAGACACCAAGCGGGTGCCCGCATGGGCTCTGCACCCCAACCTGGGTCCCCAGCCCCCACTCCCCGGACAAGGATGCAGCCGCCCATGTGCGGGCCAGGCACCGGAAGAAGGTTGGGTTCACTTCTGCTCCCAACGGGGCCAAGGGGTGTTGGTCTCATGACCGGAAGAGACCCTGCCCCACTGCTCAAGTCCTTTCTTTTGAAATCAGAGAGTTCATTTCTCCATGGAGCTGCTTGGGCCAAGGCTGCGGCTCACTGCTCAGCCGTCCGTGGTACCCAGGTGGGGGACGGGGCCCACCTGTGCCGCCTTCATCCACCGCCCTGGTTCTAGGCTGAGAGGGCCCGGATCCCTGCTGCGGAGCCCTGTGCAGGCGGCTCTGGGGGGGCCAGGGGTCCTGTCACACGGCAGCACCAGATGTCAGGGCCATCAGAGAGAAGGGGCCAGGAGGTGGCCGGGACTGAGGGGACAGAGCAGAGCAGCAGGATGCCTTTCATACGGCAAACGCAGGGCGCAAAGGAGAGGCCGCTGCACTGGCAGCCGGCGAGGGGCGCTGTAAGGTGGCAGCGTGGCGGTGGTGAGCCCAGCTCTTTCCTTGACATCTGTGGTGAGCACGGCAGCAGCCCAGGCTGAAGGGCACCAGGGCTGTGGTCACTGACATACGCTGATGGAAGCCACTTGGGCAGGACACAGAGGCTGCGTCAAGGGGGACAAAGCAGGCTTCCCTGGCCACAGAGCCCAGCCTGTTCAAGTGCATTAGGCTCAGGAAGCCGATGGCCCCTTCTTTGTCTACACTGCAGCTTAAGGCAGCTCAGCAGCCGGGCAGCTGGCTGGGAACAGCGCCCTGAGCAGCTGTCTCCCCAGGCCGGGCGAGTCCCTCCTGCTCTCCAAGTTGGGCACACGCAGCCCCTCCCCAAAGCTCCCTCAGCTCTTTGTTTCTACAGAGCCACGGCTGGGCTCGCACATTGTTCTTTCCCTGCTGAGAGCTGAAGACCAAGCCCCGAGCCCCACCTGGGGTTACGGGGCTACTCTCAGGCTGGTCCAGAGAGAAGGGCCATCAGCAAGAAACCAAACAACAGGTGCTGGCAAGGCCAGGCGAGGCGGGGCGGGGCGGGGGAGAAGGAAGCCTCCCACCTTGCTGGTGGGAGTGTACACTGGTGCAACCGCTACGGACATCAGAGCGGAGAGTCCTCAGAAAACTAAAACAGAAATTCCATCGGGCCCAGCCATGCCCCTCCTAGGTGTCTTCCCAAGAGTTACAGGCATCACATTACAGTGACCCATGCACACCCATGTTTATAGCTGCATCTTGGAAGCTGCCTCTGTGTCCACCAGCAGATGAACGGAAAAGGAAAATGTGGTGTTTACACACAATGGAGTGCTACTCTGCCATAAAGAAGGATAAACTTGAGTCCTTTGCAGGAAAATGGATGCACCTTGAGACCATCATGCTAAGTGAAATACTTGAGACATGCAAGCTTAAATATTGCATGGTTTCTCTTACATGAGAAACCCAAGGTATAAAGAGCAAAATAAAAGTCTAATGTATAAAGCAATTAAAAAGCAAAAGGAAACAGAGGAAACAGGGAGATTGAACTTCTGCGAGAGGAAGAGCACCGAGAGCTGGAGGGAGGAGGGTGGGAGGGGAGGGAAGGGTGAAGAGTGGAGACAGTCATGTGCGTTAGCACCGCCCCGCAGGGCTGCAGACGCGCTGCAGACAGGGGCTGGCCAAATGAGGAGCTCTCAGGCCACAGCAGCCAGTCCCCCGACTCTTGTGCCGCTCACGTGGCTGTACCTCACCCACGTCTGCCAGCCACCTGTACACATCAGTCCCCTCTCCCCACGGCCACCAGCCAGCGAGAGGCTCAGCACTGGCCACAGGCGCTGTGACACCGAGTCCCGGGTGGCACAGGGCTTGGTGCGACACCAACCCCAACCTGGAGGGCTTTGGCCCTGATGGCATCTGCCCCCTCAGCCCATGGACGGCCACGGGGACACTGACCTTCTGGAAGCGAGGCATGTGCCACAGGGTGTCCAGCTTCACTGGTGGCTTGTACTTCCGCAGCAGACTGCTCCTCGTCTCGCACACCTTTCCCAGGACCACCTGCAGGCCATCCAGAAGTACACAGTGAACTCACCCACAGCCTGGAGAAGCCCAGGCGCTGCGGGGCAGAGGGTGGGGATTCCTGCCGCAGCAGTGTCGGGGGAAGTTCCCCTTGGCCTGGGCCCTTCCTTCCCCGGGCTCGCTCTTGGGCACAGCCCAGCGGGCTAGGTGATGGCCGAGGGACCTGAGCCTGTGGTTCTGGTTTCTGTGTTGGCCCCAGAGCATGCGGGGTTTGGGGTGCGGTGGCTTTGAGGGCAGCGTGCGTCCATCCTCCTTGCAACTTCAGTCCTGGGCTAGCACAGCCCCAGTAGGTCACACAGGGACTCTGGTGCCAGACCAAGGAAATGCGTGACTGTCGCCACTGTGGACCAGGCTGGGAGGAGGGGGTGGGCGTGTCTGGGGAGAGGCACTCAGAGTCCTGCAGCGGGATCTCAAAGGCAGAGAGGAGCCTGCTCCCCTAAACCAGCCTCTCTGGGTACAAGCCCATCATGGCCTGGCACAGACCGCCTTGTGCCCCTCCAGGCTTGTATGTGGAAGCCCTGACTCTGATGGGATGGGTGTGTGGGACAAACAGCTCGGAGCCCACTGTGGGTGGCTGGGTGGGAGCTCGTCCGTGCAGCCTGGCCCTGGGCTGTTCCAGGCTCATCCAGAAGCCTCTGGAAGGAAGAGTGGTGCAGTGAGCCTGCTCGGGGCTCAAAAGGCTCCCCCAGGCCGGGGATTTAGCTCAGTGGTTTCGCCGCCTGCTGCGTAAGCACGAGGACCCGAGTTTGATCCCCGGCAGCAAAAAAAAAAAAAAGGCTCCCCCGCAGCTGGTGGGGACAGACCCTGGGGGCTTCTGCGGGTGGGCGCTGGTCAGCAGGTGGGAGGCGACTGCCACCGCCCAGGCGAGGCAGGGGCTTGGGTACCCGTGCAGATGCACTCAGATGCTGGGTTTGCTGTGGGCTCGGAGACAAAGAGGGGTCGCCCTGCACAGCTGGGAAAGCCAGGGTGGGGTGGGAGGTTCAGGGTGGGCACGGGATGGGCTCTGGACATGCCACCCTGAGGTGGGCATGGGGCAGGTGGCGTGGGCGGCAAGTGTGGAGGGCAGAGGCCTGAGGACTGGGCTGAGATCACAGACAGGGGGAAATGGCAGAGCCGGGTGCAGTCTGCCTGCTGGTGCAGGTGTTGGGGGCCCGGATTCCCAGAGAGGTGCAGCATCCTGGGGCTTCACTGTAATACCCGGAGCCAGCCTTTCCTGAGCTCCGGGCCTGTGCTGGGCCACATCTCCCTTACTTACTGCCCATTCTGCGGGCCAGGAAGCTGAGGCCGGGAGCATCTAACTTCCGGTAAGCCTCGTGTCTCTCGGTGTTGGGGCTCTGACTTCCGGCACACGCCCCGCCTCCCCAGGAGAGCCTCCCCCTCGCCCGAACCCAGGAAGCTCTTTCCTAGGCCTCTGCTTGTGCGCTGGGGCCTGGGCATCCTTGTGTCTTCGCTGGCCAGGAGCTGAGCTCAATCATGTTTGCCAGCAATGTGCCGGGAACCGTTTGCTGCTTGTGACATCGACCCTCCAAACGGCAAATTCCCTGCTCCTGAAATCTGCCCCGGGAAGGGACACAGGCACAGAAGCCTAGGGCCTGACCTAAGATGACCTGTGTCAGCTGGGAAGGGATTGAAGTGGCCTGGGCTGATGGGGACAGGTCTGAGCCTGTCTTCTGGCTCCTTGGTTAGTCTTCAACAGAAAAGCTTTTTCTTTGTGTAAAAAGCGGGTGCCATACCAACACAGCTGGTGCTTAGGGGCCCCCCCACAGTGCAGAGGGAGCCGGGGCTCTGTTCATGTGACCAGGCTCCAGGTTTCAGCTGAGATTGTAAGTGTAGTGCTCTCGTGTACTTCTCAATACGGGTTCCATAGAAGAAGGGTGCAGATGTTTCAGACCCCTTGCTCCTCACCCCAGCTACTCAGGAGGCTGAGGCAGGAAGATCAAACATCTGGGCAACTTAGCATGACCCTTTCTTGAGATCAAAAATGACAAGGGCCGGGGGTTAGTTCAGTGGTGCAGCAGCCCTGGGTTCCACCCCCAGTAGCACTAAAAGAAATTAACAGAATTTAACTGAAGTCAACACCACCCCAGCAAGCCTCTTACTGATTTGTCTCATTGATCCATCTATTGCTTTTGCTGACTGTGTCTGTGGATAACTGGCAAGCCCTGCCTTCCAAGACAGTTTGGAAACTGAGTCAGAATAGAGAGGATATCCGGTCAGGTGCTGATGAGCTGGGCTTCCCAGTGCGGGGCAGAATCGGGTCACCCGTCCTAGCCTCTGTCCCCCCTGCTGGAAAAGGGGTCCCTGAGCCTAACAGACAGGGTCCTGAGGAGCTGGGCTTTGAGCAGAGGGGCCACTGGCCCCAGGTGATGGCTTGCTAAATGGTGCCTGTTACTAAGAACTTTACCCAGAGCCATCTTGGCCCTGAGTCCAGGGTCCCCTGAGCAGCTCACAGACGTGGGAAGAGACAGGTGTCCCCTGGGCGTCCCGGCCTCCTGTGCTGCTGTCTAAGCAGCTGAGGAAGATTTACTCAGCCCAGGCAGCAGCCCCGGCCACAGCCTGGCGGGTTTGTGGCCACAGGTCAGACCACGCAGGAGCTACAGAGGAACCTGGAGCAGGAAGCAATGCCGAGGTCAGTTCGGTTAACCCTTTCTGTGTGCTTGCAGTGTGCTCAGATGAGCTTCAGGACACAGAACCCCAGAACATGCGAACTTGGCATGGTGAAGGAGGCAGAAGCAGGAGGGTCTCTTCCCAGAAACAAGATGTACACCCTGGAAAGGAGGCCCCAGCCGCCTGTGGCAGAGCATGAGCCCCCCCACTCCACAAGGCCCGGTGCCCAGAGGAAGGGAACCTTCTGATCGCTGCAGATGCAGAGACGCAGAGAGCAATCCGAACAGAGGCCTCACTGGGTTTCTCCCCGTCTGTCGCCGTCTGCTCTTCCTGTCTGTCCACCCCCCTATCTCCATGACTGCCTGCGTCTCCTCAAACCAGCATCAAAGCACACAGGCCGGCACTCTCTCCTGTGCAGAGAAATGCAAACCGGCCTTCTCTCCTCTTGCTGAGCCACCTTTTCTTACCGGGCCTCAGCCTTGGGCCCAGGTGGGTAAAAGGAAAGGTACTTTTCTGCCCCAACAAAGGCTTGGCGCAGGGCGCGCCTGCAGTCTGACCCTCTGAGGGCCCAATCTGCAAGCAGAGACCCAGAGCCGCATGCTCAGAGCGGACCGTGTTGGGCTGGAGTTGCCCACGCTTGCTTTAGAGGCCTGAGGGCTCGGAGAGGGTCTCCTGGCTCAGACCAGCCAGGGACCGGGATCTGGTGTGGACACTGGGCTGCAGGGCATAGCTGCTGATGAACACACAGCTCCCCGGCTCTGGAATGGCCTGACCATCACAGTGTGGCTCGTTCTGGAGCTGTTCGCAGACACCAGCCAGAGGCTCCTCACAGCTCCCTGCTCTTCGGAGCCCTCAGAGGAGCACCAGAGGGGTGCTGGTGCGGGAGCCCCAGTCTGTCTCCAGAACAGAGACGGTCACCTGTCTCAGAGTTCCCAGGCGAGGCAGGTCCTGCCCTGAGCCACACTCTGGGCCAGAAACACCCAGACAGGCACTTTTTTGGTCTGGGCCTCAGTTTCTCCGTGGAAATGAAGCAAGCTGAGACAGCAGGAGGAGATACGGCGCTGAGGGGGTTCCCTGAAGGGACAGGGGTGAGCTCAGCCCACCTCTCAGCACGGAGGGGCCAAGGTGTGAGTGTCGGCTGTGACTGGTGGGACCACCAGAGAGGCCCGCCTTCCCACGCCACCCAGAAAGTGCAGTGAGCCTGACGTTGCCATCCTCAGTCTGGGTTTCCCTCTGTCCTTTCCTCTTTCCTTCCTTCCTTCCTAGGGCCTCACGAACACTAGGCAAGTGCTCTACCTATACCTCCCGGCCCTTTTTCTTTTTTCTTTTGAGACAAATTCTCACTAAGTTGCCCAGGCCAGCTTCAAATTTGGCATCCTCCTGCCTCAGCCTCCTGAGTGGCTGGGATCTCAGGCGTGCACCATTGTGCCTGGCTTGTTGGAGTCTCGTTCGTTCTTTCTTTCTTTCTTTCTTTCTTTCTTTCTTTCTTTCCTTCCTTCCTTCCTTCCTTCTTTCTTCCTTCCTTTCATTCTTTTGTTCTTTCTTTTCTTTTCTTTTCTTTCTTTCTCTCTTTCTCTCTCTTTCTTTCTTTCCATTCCAAAGATGCCTTTTTTCAGTTTGTCTTCCTTATTGGTAGATGTTTCTGTACATAATGTCTACATTCCTTATGGGGAGTGGGTGCACGTACAGAACACAGCTCAATGTTTTCTCAATCCCCTTCCTCTTTCCTCCCTCCCCTCCCCCATCGCTTGGTCCCCTTCCCATTTTAAAAAGATCCATCTCCCTACCTCTCACTACTTGTCTTTTATTTTGCTTTTTATTTATATTTTGAGTTTCTCATATAAGACAAACCATGAGATAGTAAAGTTTGTGTGTCTGATTTATTTCATTGAACTTTATGGTCTCGAGCATTCATTTTCCTACAGATGACTCATTTATCCTTCTTTATGGCAGAGTAGTACTCCATTGTATGTAAATACCACATTTCCTTTATCCACTCATCTATTTATGGACATATAGGCCACTTCCTAACACTAGCTATCAGTTGTGCTGCTATAAACATGGGAGTGCATGGAGCACTGGCCTATGATGTTTTTAACTCTTTCAAGAAGATACTTAGAAGGGGAATAGTTGGGTCAAATGGAATTTCTACTTTCAGTTTCCTGCGGACTCTCCCCACTGATTTCCGTAGTGGCTGAACTACTTTACCTTCCCATCAACAATGAAAAATATTCCTTTTCCCCTGACACCCTTGCCAGCATCTGTTGTTACTTGATTTCTTGATGATGCCACCCTTTCTGGAGTAAGATGGAATCTGTGTCATTTTAATTCGCATTTCTCTGCAAATTGCCAGAAATACTGAGCATTTTCTCATGTGTTCATGGCACGTTTGTACTCCTGAGAAATGTCTTTTCATTTCAGTCGCCCAGCTTTTGATTGCGAGTCTTATTTGGAGGAATCCAATTTTTATATTCTAGATATTGTCCTCTGTGTGAGGAACAGCTGGCAAATTTTCCCCCCAGTCTGTAGGCTGTCTCTTCACTCAGTTTTTTCCTTTGCTGTGCAGCAGCTTTTTAATTTGATGTGATCCCATTTGCTGATTCGCGGTACTATTTCTTGTGCGACCTGGCTTCCATTCAGAAAGTCCTTGCCTACACTCTTCAAGAGTTTTACCTATTTAATCTTCCAGCAGACTATTTCTGTTTTAACATCTTCGATCGATTCTGACTTTAGTTGAGTGCTTGCTGAGAGATCTGAGTCTAGATTCAGTCTTCTGCATGTGGACAGCCAGTTTTCTCAGCACCATTTGTGAAAGAGGCTGTCTTTTCTCCAGTGTATGTATCTGGCCTCTTTGCCAAAGATCAGACGGCTGAATGTTCCTGGGGTTGTTTCTGCATCTTCTATTCTGTTCCTTTGATCTGTCTGTCTTTGTGCCTATACCATTCTGGGATTTGCTTTTTGGTTTTTTTGGCACTGGGGATCCAACTCGGGTCCTTGAGCTTACAGGGCAGGCGGTGGAATGACTGAGCTAAATCCCCAGCTGTTTTTTATTTTTTAAGATGGAGTCTCACTGTGTAGCTCAGGCAGGCCTTAAACTCACTATATAGGATAGGCTGGGCTCAAACTCTTGGTGATCTTCCTGGCTCAGCCTCCAGAATACTGGGATCACAGGTGTGCCCCACCACACCCAGCTCAGTGCATGCTGTTTTTATTGTTGTAGCTTTGTAATATAACCTGAAGTCTGGAATTGTGATACTTCCTGCTTTGCTCTTGTTACCCAGGATTACTTTTACTATTCTGAGTCTCTTCTGATTCCATATGAATTTTAGGATTGTTTTCTCCAGTTCTTTGAAGAATGCTGTTGGAATTGTGATTGGGATTGCATTACATCTATATATCATCTATATGGACCATATTGGTTCTGCCTATCCAGGAATGGAGGATATCTTTGCATTTTCTGATGTCCTCTTCAACCTCTGTTGCAGTATTTTCAAATGTGCAGAACAACACAGATTCACAGCTAAAGATGTTTTTCCTGGTGTAAAAAAATCTCACCAAACTGACTCCTGCCGGTGGCTAAGGCCTCACATGAGCAGCATTTGTGGCATTTGGGTGCAGTCAGAGCGTGGGCTCCTCAGCCCAGTGCCTGGAGGACTCTGCAAGCCTGACTTCCGGGCCTGGGGTGGATGGACGACCGCTCCAGGCTCCTCATAGACGCAAACAAGATGCTGGGCGTGACAGATGTGGGCCCATGTGTTAACTTGCCACAAGATGAATTCTTCCAATTTAAGCCTCTTCCTGAAGTGGCTTGGCCTTATTTCCCTTTTCTTCACCGATACACTTCTGTCCAGGCCTCAGATGAGTTTGAAGCCCGATATTTGGAGGCACAAAGTTGGGTAGAGATTTGGTGGAAAGAGTTCCCGCGCAGCAGGAGGGGTCGGCACAACTGGATTCTCCTAGCAGCCCAGGGACTACCCGGCCCATCTCTTAAGCTCCCCGGGATTCAGTGCAAGCTGAACTAGATCAGCACCGAGACCCAGTCCACCTCTGAGTTTCTGCACAGCAGGATGCAGCCAGAGTCCACAGACACACTGAGGTCCGGCCCCCAGCTCGGCCAGGCCAGCCCTCCCCTCCCGCCCCCTCCGGCCACTCCTGAGTGACGCTGTGTTTGTTACCTTCTGCTTTTTCTCCAGTTTGATGGCTTTCTGGGCGGTCTTCTGTTCCTGCACCCACAGCTGCTGGTACCGGTGCTGCAGCAGGTCAAAAAATGGGGTTGAAGGTCTGCAGGGGGAGAAGGGAACAGATACACTGAGGCCTGGAACAGCACAGGCACCCTCCCCCATGCAGGCGCCGCACTCTCCCCTGGCACTGGTGGCCACAGAGCAAGTGGCTCTGCACACCCAGCGCCCAGGAAGAGGCAGCTTCCTTGCCCCCTAGCCAGCATCACCTGTGTGCCTCAAGTGTGCCCCCCCAAGATGTGACAGGACCCTGTGCCTGAGCAGACTTTGAAGACTCCCCAAGCCTCTGCCACCAGGCCTCGCCCTCAGGGTCTCTCCTTCGAAAAGGTCCTGCTAAGTGGGTCCCCCACCCTTAACATCCGCTCTCCCTGGAGAGCTGACCCCACCCCATCTTGGATGACCTTGATCTACCCTTGGCAAGAGTCCTGTCCAGTCAGATGAGCGCTGCTTTGAACTGAGGTCAAGTCTACACTGAATTTCTCCTCTTCTGCAATAGCACGGAGTAACATCTTCCCTCCCTACCTTTCGCCAGCGCCCACCTCTGATTTTTCCCGACAGTGATCTCCAGCCTCAGAGAGCTTAGCCTGCCCTGTGTGTTTCAAAGCCACTCCCCCTCTCAAGGGTCCTACTGCTTTCATCCCAGTCTCGGAGATGAGGCTGAGGGGTGGGGTCCCGGGGGAGGGCTGCTCAGCTGCAAAACTCAGTAGCAGAAAACTAACTGCTCCCAGGTAGGGTGGGACCTCTAGGTAGCTTGAGAGGCTGAATCCACACGCGGACCTTGGCTGGCCGTGTACAGAACTAGAACTCTGAACCTTCAGCTGCAGCAACCCCAAAGTGATCGAGGAGGTGATCCAGCTTCCAGACCAGCAGAGTCCACCGGAGATACTGGGAGTGACCGTGTGACTCTACGCCACGGGGCCCTGGGTCCCCGCAGCCGGAAGAGGCAAGAGCTGGATGCCTTGATCTCAGCCTCTGGGCCCCAAAACCGGGAGGGAACCACTTCCTGCTGCTTTAAACTGCTCAGCTTGTGCTACACTGGACATTGCTCACAGGGCTTCCTCAGCCTGCACCTCTGGAAATGCCAGCAGGGCCTGCTGTCCAGACGAGAGGCATCACCGCAGGTCGCAGGACTGGATATCAGACTGGCACAGCTGAAGGACCCTCAGAACAGCGATTCAAAAACTCCCCTGGGCATGTCACCCACACATCTGCTGGTCCAGAGCGGCTGTGCCCAGCCCCAAGCTGCACTGCAGGGACTCTACCCCTTTCTGTGTAGCCACTGAGGTTCAGGAAGCTGCACACGATCATCTTAGCAGCTGTACGAGAACACTCTGTCTGGGCGTCCCCAGCTTTTACCAGATTTCCCAAGGCGCCGGGGGCTCAGGAGAGGCTCAGAACCCTGGAAGTGATCTCGGGATCAAAGCAACGAGGGGTGGGGGCGCTGAGAGAGAAGCTTCTGCCTTCTTTGCCCTGTTAGCAGTCCCAAAAGTCTTTGAAATCATTGCCAACACTTAAAAAGCTGGGATAGTTTACATGGAAAAAACAACATCTCTCTGGATTGACCTGGAAATGTGCAAATTCTGACGCCGTGGGTCTGCACTGCTCTTTGGCTGCGCGGTGGCCCCAGTCCCCAGCCTTCCCAGCGTCTCCCAGCAGACCTGCTCCTCTCCCTGCAGGCCCTGCCAGGGCTCGAGTGCACGGCCCCAGAGAATGCAGGGCTGGACTTGGCCTGGGCCATGCCCTGGCACAGTTGTTTCTGGGACACCAAGGTCTCTGCGGCACCGGCCTGAGCAGGATTCTAAATGAGCACAGTTCTGGCTTTGAAACGGTGAGGTCTCTTCACACTGCAGCGCCTGGCGCTGCCACAAACACTGGCTCTTTGTTTCCTGCCTCCTTTACCCCTGTGGTGACTTTTATTACTTAATTATTACGCACCCCATGCTTTCGAGCAGCCTAATTTATAGCTGCGCTCTCTAATGACACGACTGCGTAATCTGGAAATATCCACCCCCAGAGGCGCTCCCCTGGCCGCCCACCCGCCACATCCATCAGCCGCCGCCGCTGCACCCGCGCTGACCAGCTCTGTGTCTCGCCCCGGCCAGCGCTTCTCAGTCCCCAGAAGAGGCGGGACCGCAGTGTGAGCGCCTAACAGCCTGGGTCACTGAGGCCCGGCCGGGCAGTCCCAAGGCCGCGGGCTCATTAGCTTGGAGAAACAGGTGGCAGGGCTGGCTGGACGTGGGCAGCAAGGACATAAATCGGGTCTATCAGGCCTGGCTTGAAACGCCCTCGATGCCTCCCAGATGCATCTCAGTGGCCCAAGGCCCAGTGCAGCTGCTGCCCGGCCCCTGCCAAGGAGCCTCTGCCTTTGCTCAGCGCATGCACGGCTTCTCCTTTGCCTTCAGGTCTCAGTTGTCCAGTCACTTCCGGGGGAATGGGGCGGGGGGGTCCCCTGACCAGCTCGCCCGAAAACAGCCCCTGCCAGGCCCAGGTGAGCACGGCCGCTCCGTCCTGGATCGAGTGGACACAGTGCTGCTCCCAATAATGAATTGTTGAGAAAAGAATGACAGACAGAGACAGAGAAGGGGAGAGAGGAGGGGAAAGAGGGGAAGAGAAGAGCAGGTAGGAGAGGAGGAAAGGAGAAAGAAAAGACAGAAAGAGACAAGGACGCAGAGGGGATTAGGCAAAACTTCCAGCAACTTGCCTCAATTCAGGGAATTGCAAATTAGGCTCCCTGTGTTAGCATCAATTAAAGGAAGTGAGTTGATGGAACCTGAAATCCAGTAGAGGAAATCTTTTAACAAATGCTGCCAAAGCAGTGGGCATTTTGGGCAAAACAACAAACAGCACAAGGAACGCACAAACCCCTCTGTCTCGGTCTCACCTGTGCTTGAGAGTTAACTTACGGTCATATAAAACATCAGACCCAACAACTTGTACAAGAAAACGCAGGACAGCACCTTGGGGTCTAGGGATAGGTGAAGAGTTTCTTTGATGAAAAACTGACAAATTGGACTTCTTCAAAAATTAAAAACTTTTGCTCTGCAGAGATTCTGTTAAGGAAACCAGAAGACAAGCTACAGACGGGGAAATATTTGCAAATGTTGCAAAGTCAGGCTGGGGATTTAGCTCAGTGGTTCTGCCGCCTGCCTCGGAAGTGCAAGGTCCCGAGTTCGATACCCAGTACCAAAAAAAAAATATTGCAAAGTCTGAATGATGAATGTGATCATTATGTATGGCAAGTATGTACTGATAAAAATACATTTTAAGAAAACCATATGTCTGGAAAAGGACCCCTATCTAGAATTAAAAAAAAAAAAAACCTCAATGGTAACAAAAACAAAACCAAACATAATCCAGTTAAAGAACAGTAACTGCATGCAAAAGTGGGCCGCATCTCCAGCCATTGAGAAATGCCACTTAAAACCACGATGACACACAGATAAAATAAACAGGCACAGGACCAGATGCCAGTGAGGACACGGGCAAGAAGCCTGTCACACGTTACTGGTGAGGACATGAAATGCCTCAGGCACTCTGGCCAACAGTGCAGTAGTTTGTTTAAAAAGGACATAGGAATTGCACTCTGGGCTTTTATTACAGAGAAATTCAAACTTAGATCTACCTAAAAATGTAGTCACACATCTGCATAGTGGCTTCACATGTAATAGTTCCAGACTGGAACAACCGCAATGTTCTTTAGCAAGTGAATGGTTAAACTATGGTATATCTATGCCCTGGAATACTACTCAGCAATGAAAAGGGACACACTATTGATACTCAACAGGTTGGCTGGATATCTATACTTATGCTTATGCCAGTCTCAAAAATTGCATTCTGTTATGACTCCATGTATTCCATTCTTGCGGTTTTCCAGGGTGTGAAGAACAGTGGGAAGGGGAGTCTATGGGATGCTTAGAGGGATCTTTGTGTTGACAGAACAGTTATGCATCTTGATTGTGTTATACAAACCTAGAGGTGCTAAAACTGCATGGAACTAAATGCACAGCATGCATACACACAAACGCATGTAAAACAGGTGGAATCTGTACAACATCCATGTCAGCCTTTTGGTTTCATATTGTACTACAGAGTTAGGGAAATTGGATAAAGGGTCCACAGGATCTCTCAGGACTCCTTGTACAACTTTCTCTGAATTCACAATTATTTCAAAGCCAGATTTTTTTTAATGCCAGAACATAATTTAACAGAGCACACTACCAGAAAGACTGAAATAGCGTCACAGTGAGCAGCCATAGGCAGTGTAGAGGATGAGAAAGATTCCTCAGAGACAGACTTAGTGCAGTACTGAGAGGTTCGAGGGCCTGACTGTTCCTCACCCAGGGTGCCCGCCTCAGGGGGGCTCTGGAGAGAAAGAGCAGGAGAAAAGCAGTGTGGGCCTGGAGCTGTCCCAGGGTGGGCAGTTCTTCTTGGGAAGCGGGGGGACACGGCCAGACACAGCAGGCCTCACTAATCCAAACCGGGTCAACCATTCGGTTCTCAGAGAGCCTGTGTGATTTCGCCCCAGAGTTCAATTATTTGTGCGCTTTTGCCCTGCGTTTTAATCATGCATTCCTCATAGAGCCTACGAGCTTTTGTTCTGCAGTTTAACCATTCACTCCTGGCCAGGACCACCACAGAATAGCTTTCTCCTTCACAGAGAAAATGTTACTAAATGACGATTATTCAAAGTGGTCATCAAAATCTGTGCAGCTGAATATCTACAGGAAAGAATCAATATGCGATTGATAAATGAGATATTCCATTTTGGGGGGGGCAGGGTCTCTCTATGAAGCCCAGCCTGGCCTCTGACCCATGGCAATCCTCCTGCCTCAGCCTCTTAACTGCTGGGATGACCCACACCCCAGGTCAATTTTTTTAAAGTATGTTGCTCTTCTAGATTTTTTTTTTTTTTTTTTTTTTTTGGTACCAGGGATCAAACTCGGGTCCTTGCGCTTACAAGGCAGGCAGCAGAACCACTGAGCTAAATCCCTGGCCCCTTTGAGGTGGTGACCTTTTGCAGTTAGATGTGACCAGAAAAACTCA